TTACGTGTGTAGTGGTGAAGATGTCATGCAGTGTGTTCATGACATTCTCTGCTATGATTGACCTTGAATTGTTTGTTGGTGACTTCTGGATGGAGGCAACAGAGTTAATCAGGTTTCTCTGCTTCTGTAGCTGAAAGAATGGAAACTAGATTAGTATTTATGGTATTATCATCCCCTCACTTTCTACATCCTATAAGTCAAAGTCTCGGGTCACTCTTATGATGGTGAGCGATAAAAAATAATAACAGGTTATAAACTAGGAAATATCAGATGAAGCCAGTTTAATAGACTGTGAACAAAGTCCACTTTGCAAATCAAAATCAGAGATGTATCTGAACCAGAGACTCCATCTCACTGTGGAATTCTTCAGCGTCCATTTGCACACCACAGCAATACTTCTCCAAGCTGTCTGAGAAGCTCTGTGATTGACAATTTTATTAAAAACTGTGAAAGATTGTGTCATGGACTGATTCAATGATAACTTCTTCCTGCTAATCTCAAGAGTTTAGTCAAATTTACTTAAACCTGCAGGCCTTTGTTCATAAACTGAGCACTAAGGCTCAAACCAAGTACACAGCATGGACTGGGGCTGACTTGAGAATTCACAAGTGCAGAAGCACATCTATAAGAATGCATCAAAAGAGAAACCTTTTCCCATATCCTTAAGAAATGAGAATTTTAGTTAAATATCTACATGGAGTAGCAGAGAAAGGAGAGGAAATCTCTCTTTCATGGCTTATTTCTTAGGGGTTATACCTATACCTATACATTTTGTTCACATAGCCTTAGAGATCCCTTCTGGACTGTGCAGAAACTCCTCATTTATGCAGTTATTGATGTTCACAAGGTTATGAACAATTTCCCGTCTGGATTATCCCACAGTTTATATGCTGCTTTATCAATGCAAAAGCCACATTACAAGAAATCAGACGGTTGCTTTGGAAATGGTGATAAGCTGTTGCACAACCTTAGGTTCGGTCTCACAGACTGCAAATTGAGTTTCTGGAAAGATTTTTTTGCAATGGAACTGCCCCAGTATATGTGCATTTTCCCTACTGGTAGAAGCAAATCCCATCATTTTACCATTTTGAAAGAAATGTGAAGAGAGAAAGACAGAAGAAAGGTAAGCAGAGAAGGAAACTTAAAAAGAAGCACAAAGTAGAGAGATAAATCAGTTGAAGGAGAGCAAGGGGAGTGCAGTGGGAGAAGGAAGGAGGGTCCTCTAGGGCTAAAGCTTTGCCAAAAGGGAGCCTGTAGGCTTTAGTCACGTTTGTCAGCCATCATCTTGTGCAACAAGAGGTAATTCTGCTGGGACAATGTGCTGTTCTGAAATGTCTGGCTGGGACACTGCACCCAGGTGGCCCTCAACCAGCTCCACTAGCAGCGTTTCTTGGCACTGCCCCTATTGTGCTGGGGAGGTAAAACGTGGCACTCCCTCTGAGTCACCTCTCCTTGTATTCACAGCATGCAACATCACCTGGCATCAGAGCTGCTTGTCCCTAGAGCCCTGTCACACCACTAGAGCGAGATGCACGTGGCAGTAGCATGGTGAAGCTCATGAGGCACCCTGGGAACACATCATGGAGCTAAGAAATGCCTCCACTTGCAGTGATTCGTGCCTGAATTGTTTGCTCTCGCTGTTTAAGCGGGCATCCTCAAGACACTGCTAATTAAGATAGAGCTCTGTGGCACAAAAATCAAAACTATTCCTATTTTATATTCTTTTTTTAAATTTATCATATTATGTTACATGTATGGTTTTCATTCATCAATTCATTCTCACTACCTCTAGTGACTCTGATCTGGTGCTTCTAATCATGCCAAGCATCCTATTCATGAATCCTGGTAAGATCTCTTAGTGAGCATTTCAGACCTAAAAGCAGCTGAGTCTGGGCTAGAGCCCAGCAGGTTTTTTGGGTCTAAGAGGCATGGTGCTCAGGCAGAGATGTCACCTGACCTCAGGTAAGCACTGTTCATTTTCTGATACCCACAGTGGTTTGCTGAGTGACTTTAAGCCAGTTACTTCTCTGCATCCTGGTCTTTGCCAGATGCAAACTGTGAGAACACCACTTCCTGGGCTTTGAGAGCTCTGAACAAAATTTGATAGCCCTTCTTACATGCTAAGGTCACAAAAGAAGGAGTGAGACTCTCCTTAGTGCTTAAACAGCAGGTTTGCTTAGGTGGTCCATAAGCCATGCTTGCATAAATCAACAAAGAGGATTTAGACAAAGAGGAAAAAAACCAATACAGGATAAAGGTAAACTTTCTGTACTTGAGAATGTTTCTCCCCCCATCTCTGGGCTATGCTATGCTATATATTATCACTGCCATCAAAAGAGGTGTGTAAGAACTTGAAAAACCAAACCAGCCTGTCTCTAAGGTGTTCCATATATCACAGTCCTGCAGGTGGCTTTATTCCTGAAGTGCTGGGCTATGCTGCTGTTGGAGCCTCCTGCTCCCCTGGCTCCCCAGACCTACTTCTGGACTTAAGTGCTGCATCAGGAGTAATCACCTACCTAAAAGTAAGCTCCATTTCTTTACTGAAGTCATTGTTTATAAAAGAGCTGTAGGCTGCCAAAATGGTTTTGCTGTGATGATTTTATCAGGCACTCAATTGATGTACTCCCTGCCATTCTCATTTTGGCATCACCAGTTTTCTCAATGATAAACAACTGACTTTGCTTCAGTGAATTAATTGTGGAGACAAACATGAGCCTCAACACCTTTTAATAAATTAACAATCTCAGCCTGTATCACTAAATCAGAAGAGATTGTTTGTAATGTGAAAATTAATTTATAGATTTTGTGAACACAGCACCAGATGGAGTAAAACTGAGAGCTGTAAACTCTCCTGTTGTTTGAAACAAAAGTGCCTGACTCTGCCACTTTCTGTGTCTCCTAAGTGTTCTTAAGCAGATTTGTGCATACATACACAGCACCAGTTAATGGTGAGATACCATTCAATGTGACCCAAACCAATATCCTGTTTGCATAAAATGCATGAAAATATATTGTCTTTTCTAATAATACTAATAACTACCATTAATTTCTGGAACACCCCATATAGAGACCTGGATGTTCCAGAAGTTATATCTTAATAATTTTATCTTATTAATTATATCTTTGCAGATGGGTAAAATGGGATTTTTTTCCTTTTGCAGATAGCTTTTACTGCCTGTATGGCATGTGGTCAAACCTGCTGATAGGATTTGAAGCTGGCAGCTTTAGCCCACACCAGTGAGCTCAAATCTAGTCCTCAACAGGGACTGAGGTTGCCATTCCACTTCAAAAACACTTCCCAACTTAGAGAAATATGTTGTCCTCACAATAACTACAAAATCAAATATGTGCCTAGTTCTAGGTTGTTCATTTTGTTTTTTGTTTTGGTTTTTTTTTAATCCAGTGGGTTTGGAATTTTTTTCACACCTTTTGCTTGTAACAGTTCATCCATCTTCCCAGATATTATTTCAGCTTGAGGATATCTACTCTCCATGGTTCACGGATTCTGGATTTCATTCCAGACATTTATTTATGGAAATCCTACATATTGGGAGGCAGGTATAAAGAGTAAACGAGATACTTTGAGCAGGTTGTCTTTGCAATCATTCTTAAATTGTGTCCCTCCAATGATTTATGGAGATATTCTTTCTCTCCAAGATGGCAATTGGCTTTCAGCTGCTTATTTCTGCTCACCGAGTTGGCAGCACCACACAACACAGCACAGCAGTGAGGTTTACTTCCTGAAATATTCAGCAACTTGGTCATGAGAGCAGTGACCAGGTAAATACATATTTAGCTGGCAAGAAAAAGGATTCTGAGAGGCACCAGAGAAATGTATCTGTAGTAATGTGAGAGTTCCCCACTGCAGAATTGCCAGTGTTAAGAGAGCAATTCTCTGTGCATTGGAAACCCTGTGCTTTAGCAGGCTTTGCATTTCCCGTGGGGAATCCCAACTCTGTTTGAAGGAATTCATTCCAAATGTTCTGGTGTCAGGTCAGATCCGTATTCAGAAGCTAAAGTAAGCACTTCTTGTTAGAAATCTTCTATTTAGGAGTTGGTTCAAATTCCAAAATGCTCTTGCTGCTTTTCACTGCACTCAGGCTGAATCATTCAAGAGGCTCTGAAAAGGGAGGTAATACAACCCAGACATGTTAATGAACCAATCTTTTGGTCAGAATCAGGAAGAAATTATGGGTGCATGCAACATTTTTCTCTTCCAAAGCTACTATTGTTCTTTTACATGACAATACTACTGGTCTTATGGAAAAGACCTTGCCTGCCAAGACACAATTTGAGTAATAACAGTAATTATGGTGCTGGTGGTACTAATCCAAGACCACTAATCTGAAGTGTTTTGTTTCTATATCACTAAGTTCAACATATGAGGTAGAATATAAATATTCTTGCTTCAACCAAATGGTTGCATTTAAAGCCCTGCAGGAATTGAGGGTTTTTTGATCATATTGTTTTAATATTCATTTTCATTCCATCCTGGAATACAATTCTAAATTTCATTTGAAATTACAGAAATCATAGAAAATATTTTGTTCTAAAATTTAAACATGCATTTTAAGTACCTGATGTGATTTGCTTGAATTTTGGATCACTCAGGGGAATTGCTTTGATTTTATTAAAGATTTGCCTGTTATTAACTCTTCTTTCACTTTTTTACACAAACGTATAAAAAACCCCAAATACAAACCCCACAACATTGAAATGGAAATAATCCCTAGGGAACTTGTGATGTAAGCATATCAGCAATTGGCAATTTCTAACTTTACTGCAGACTGTTACTTGTTATCAGTATAAGGTCTGTGACTTCATCTGGGTGAACGGTGGTGCAACACCTACAGGCCAGAGAATATGCGGAATGGAATTCCATGTGTAGCTGAGTGGGAGCTCCCTCCACTCTTGAGAGACGCAGCTTTACTCAACAATCAGGTCAGATGCCTCTTGCTCAGCAAAGATGAGCTGAGGAAACAATGAGTCTTCTCTGACCAAGGAATGCTTCTTCCTCCACGTGTTTGCTATTGCTCAGTTCCTGATGCTTTTAGGCTTTCTAGGATTACATTCATTTCTCTCCAGAATCAAATTTAAACCAACCTGGGAATTCCTTTGTCACTTCTTGCACAGTCGCCTAGAAGTACAGATGACGTGTTGAGCACACACAGACAAAGCCACTCCAGCAGTGCCACCAGCATTGCTCAGGCTGCCCTGGAACAGAAAAGGACTTGGCTGTGAAGCCAGAGAAGAATGTAGGTCAGCATAACAACGTTTGACCCACACTTTCCTCTGGTGACAGTAATAGGCTTAAGGACTGTGATCCTTGATGCCTTTTGAAAACCTGTTTTGTGCTTGGTAGAAACAAAGTAGAAGCTCAATTAAAAGAGATGAAACTGTGGTAGCATGACTGCCTAGAAAGAAACAGATGAACACCACTGATTTACAGGCTGTTGCTGGGCTCAGCTTCTCTTCTAGAAAGCACACTGATATTTTAATGTATGAGCCCAAAGCCAGTTTCTAAAATATTTTCTGCAAAAATGTCAAATAGTTCTGGCACACCTCATCAGAGACAGGACCCTGGCACTAGCAGGACCATCATTTGGGACACTGCAGCCACCCCCATGTTCCCATGGGATGAAATACAGGGTACATTTGCCTTTCCATTCCCACCTTGGTAATTTTAATGCTTTTATTTTCTGGCAATCAGAATATATCAACATTTATATTTGAGGGCGTTTTTTTCTAATACAAAGTGGGGTACGTTAAAATTTGTGACACCAAAAATATTGTGTAGTTTTTCATTTTTTCTCTTTGTTTTCCAGCACTTGTTGAAAAGAAGAAAATCACCTTAAAAGGCTGGAACAGGAGAGGTCTGAATTCTATGTTTTCCTCCATCCTCAGCTATTCACTATCATCCTGCCAGGTATCTTCACACATCAAGCTGTACTTTTAAGAACAATCCTGGCATGTTCCTGTCACAAGGAGATGTACTGGCTCTTATGTTCTTGTATGGTGGTATAAAATTCTACCTGCCCTTTCCTTTTTCTCTAAAAAACCCTGAAGTCTTTCATCGACCCTTTGGCTTTGGCTGATCTTTCCCTCCTCAGTGGCATAATACCTCGATCAAGTTCATCACTTACAAGGCAGCAAAGCTCCCTGAATTCTTTGCTCTGATATGAGACACAAAATATGAGCACATGTGAAGGTGAGGTCTCAGTGTCAGCACCTTCAAAACGCTCATCAAACACAACAGTGCTACAAGGGGCTGTGAAATATTTGAAAAGAATGATCTGAGTCTCTCCAAAACCAAAGCAAGGACAGAAACTGGATCAGATGAGTGCTGTTCCATGAATGAAACGTGTAATCTCATTTATATGACAGTACAAGTATTGCCAGAGAAGATATTTCTCAAAATCAGATGGAAGTTTCAAGCCCAATGGACAAAGTATTTCAAGGTTATTCACTGTACCCGTGGATTGGCAGAATAAAGACTTCTCTTTCATGTTACCTTTAGATAGAAGATCAACGAGCAATCCAACACTCTTGTAGACAGAAAAGCAATGTCGTGAACTTTTCACTTGTATGGGAAACACAGACAAAGGAAGGTCTGGACTGGCCTGTGGCAGTAGCCCTGAAACACAGGGCTGGATTCATACCCAGCCCCACAGGGATGTTCATCTCCTCTAAATCTGTCTAGCTGAGGATTTGATGGTATTCTAGTTTTCCTAAGGGAGGCTGGAGGCTGTTGGCAGAGGATTAGAAAATAGAAGGAAAAAGTATGCCTGATTCAGAAAGGGATCAATTCAGCTTTCTGCTTTTCTTGAGCAGCCTCTGAAGCTGGGGTTCCTGTAGAGCTAAAGCTGAATTTTAAAGCTTTTTTTTTTTTTTTTTCCCCTGGCAGAAGGCCTGTGAGCCTGCATTCCCAGCACTGCCATTCTCCCCCACAGAAGCCTTCAGACCCTGACACAGCCAGGTGTGCTCAGTCTGCAGGGCTTGTAAAGATGATCCAACGTCAAGCTCGTCTGATTTCCCTTTTAAATAAGGAGGTGAATGAAATCTGAGATTCAAATATCCTCAAGGTATGGGTCCCAAAAGTCAGACCCAGAGCTTCTGCCCACCTCTTGGCTTTGCTACAGTGTCACAGTAGCATCTCGGGGTTTAAAACACACCATGCAGTATATTACATTAATTCTCTATGTGCATACATATGAAGATATTTATAGCATGGGAATGATTCATGAAAGCAACCACAAATTCCTCTGTAAACATTTAGGAGTTGTAATTAAAGTAATTAGAAGTATTAATTACTTTACAGAAGCCATGTAGGATGCAAGATCCATATTACAGTTATTCTGTCACAATTTCAAGCCCTTTGAATTAATTTTTCTCTGGAAACTCCTCCAGCCTATTTGCATCATTTTGCACTCTGAACTCGCTGTCTAGACAGACACTCTTCACTCGACTTGCAGTGCTATCATAAGCCATTTTGAATTACAATTTCATATAAGCAGTGCCTAAAATCAAATGTTCTGGATTCATTTGAAACTTATATAGTGAATAATAGATGACTGGACTAAGAAACTGTGAAATACAGGTCAAGTTTCAGATGCTGTGAGATGTGAAAATATCTAAACGTTTTCAGATTTCTTTAAACTTTCATTCACATCCTTGATGACCTTTCTTTTGCTATTTCCTCTTCTGCAACAGCCCCACTCAAGTGATACAAAAAACATTACAGTTAATATATTCAAAATTAATTTAGACTCCTTAAAGCTCCAAAAGCAATAATTCCTCAAGTCTTGGATTCCTGTAACTGTTTAAGAATCAAAACTGAGAGAAATTACTAGTCATCCTTAAAAAGTTAAAAATAAAATAACAAAGCCTGTGCTTTGATACAAGGGGGGAAAAAGTGCTTGTGACACAAATTATGTTATATATATATATATATATCTCCAGTGTATATATCATACCAGGTCTGGATTTTATACCAGTAACAGTTAAAATATGTTTTTCTGGGGAAAAAAAAATTACTGCAAATATACACATATTTCTACTCATTTTCCTGGCAACTGCATTGCTGAGGAGAGAAGCCTGTTAAAAAATTTGGAATTTAATTGGAAAAGTACTTTTAGGCTATAATTGTCTGGCAGGGTTACTTGGAAGCTCTAGTGATGTGTGTTGAGAGTAATACATTTTTCATTTTTTAATCTAACAAAAAATATTCCCTATGATGACATTAACATTATTTTAGATTAAATGAGTAAAAGAACTTGATGGAATTGTATGAAAAATTGTATAAATTAATGTAAGTTATCTGTCTGCCAAAAGGTATAGCTAGGTGGCTTTGAGTACTTTCCCATCTAAGAGTCAAGTTATTTCAATCTAGGAACAAATCACTGTTTTTATTACAGAGTTCTAAATTCTCACAAATTCTCTTCATTGGCCTTTTAAATTTTTTTGCAGTCTTAAGAGGAAGTTTTTTACTTCCAAGTGAAACACTTTCTCTTGAAATATCTCACACAAAATGAAGTACAAAAGGCTTACAACAGAAAGAAATAAAAGGCCAAACACAGGGCTTGATGTGCTTTGGAGGAATAAAGGAGGAAGACTGCAGTCAGGAGGAAGCAAAGGAATTAGTTTTGCTTGAAATATGTTTATGTGACATTTTCATTGCAGTTTTTCTTTCTTGTCAAATGTGTTACAGACTCTAACTCTTTCTGGACATCCATCCTCTCAGAATACTGGAGGGAGCACAACATCTGTGAGTGGTTGCAGTTTTGCTGTGACCAGCACAAACTAGATGCCAAATGCATTTCCTTTTCCCACTTTAATATCCATGGCTTGCAACATGACCCAGGACCAGTTTGTGGAAGCTGCAGGTCTTTGTGGAGAACACTTGTATTTCATCTTACATCTTGTATAGTTACTGTTCCAGAAATCAAACTCAAAACATAAAGCATTGCATTTTTGTGTGAGTTTAACAAAAAATGTGGAACCCACATTCCTGAGCACTGAAAAAAGGCAGAAGAGAGAGGCCACTTAGATACTACACGAGGAGTATGCAGAAATAGGGCAGGCAGACAATAACCTCACTGCAAACTTTGGCCTCACAACCACACACAGACCAGGCTCATCTTTGTGAACCAGTCAAATCTCCAAAGGGACACAAGCTCTGCTCCCTCCTTTGGTTTTCTACTCAAAGTGGTCAACCTGAATGCTCCAAGGGAGGTTTGAATTCTGACAGGATATAGAAACACACAACACGTTGTTATTCCTGTAACTCCAAGTAGTGAAGATTGGTCTGCTTCTTAAAGAGTGAAGGAGAAGTTTTGTTTGATGGTGTTATTGTGCATACTGCAAGGATAATCCATCTCATTAGTAGTATGCTTAATGATGCACTTGAATGAAAACACTCTTTTTAATTTACTACTTTCAACCTTGGCTTGGAAGATTTATTTTTGCTTAAATGAGCTGAGATTCAAAAACTAAGCAATTGCTAGTCCAGTGTAAGTGAAATAGAAGTGCAATTGCTGCTGCAGATACCCTCTCTTGCTATTCAGTCCTGCCAAAGATCAAGGAGTGTGCATGCCAAGCTTTGGCAATTCTACCCAGCTCCATTGTGATGATAGGGACAAAAGAGTTTCCACTAAGCAGGGAATTTCAGAAGGTCATTTGTCTATGCCCTAGCAATGAGAATCTGAGGAGCATTTTAGCTGCTCAAATCCCTCAGCAGCTCAAGCCTTCTCTGGCTTAGGGGAGTATTTGACCAAACTGGAGTTTATGACTGCTGGAAAAGGATTAAAGGCTTAGGCATGCAAGTCCTGGAGGATCTCGTGGGAGCTGACACTGCCAGTGGCTCCCAGTGGTGAGCACCTGCTTAGTCACAATGTGCTGGAATTTATCCATCCTTCACTGGTCCACTGCCCACCTTTGAAATGCCCAGTGGGGAGTGGAGGCTGGCAAGGCAGAATGAGCAGTAGAGGGTGACCTGGGTACACAGTGAACAGGGAGGGGCAGGCTGAAGCTGAAACAGGATCATTGACCAGAGGCAAAACAGTAAGAAAATATGTGGTTAACTTTATCAAACTGCAGCAGAGGTGTGCAGCAACTGAGACTGTAGTCAATAGGCCAGGTAAGGCTCGGGGATGTGAGCAAGACTAGAGACTGTCACAGAAACAAAACATCCCCGTGTTTAGGTTGGCACTGCTCTGCTGTGGGACTGACCATCATCACTTTCTTCCATATATCATGTCAGAGAGGCCATTCTGAAGGCAATTATTAAATGTAAGAGATAAGGAAGTTATTGAGGGAATTAAAGAATACAGAGCTGTGAAGAAAATCCTCATTAAGAAAATTAACTTTTTATAGTCTGTAGAAAGATTGGACACTTGTCAGGAAACAAACTACAACAGCTCAGGAATATCCACCTCATGAATAACATAAGGCCTGTGAGGAAAACAATGGTCCAGCAATGCCAGACCTTACTGCAACATAATCAATAAACAAAACCATGGCTGCACAAGTAGGCTTAATTCTCGTTTTTCCCAGTTTTGTATGCCACACTCACTACACGAGTTAAGTTCCTCAAATGCAGATTTGTATGTGCAGGCATTTACTCATGATTTGTGAATGTAATTACTCCTTTAAAAGGTGATGCTGTCCTAATAATGTAGACAAGTTCCAGCCCTGCAAAGATCTGATTTCCAGCATTAGAGATGCTTTTCACTCAGGGAAAGGAGGGAGAGAAGACTGAAGGAGTGGTTTTCAAGGCACAAGGGGCTGAACGAGAAAGAACTCATCTAACTGTAAAGAAAAGGAGAGAAACTGTGATACAGATGATGCAAAAATGAAATGCCAAGGGACCACAGGGCAAAGAAACAAAACACATGAATCATAAGAGCAGAGACATACAGACACCATGCAAAGGGTAAGAAAAATACCCCAAAAGTTGAAAAAAACTCTAAAACACTGACATAGTCCCCCCAACTCCCAGGCTTTCAGGGTAGTTATGAAAGAGATGTCAGGAAAGTTATTAGAGTGAAAGTCCTGACATCACTTTCATAACTATCCTGAAAACTTGGGAGTTGGGGGGAATGATTGGGTGGTTATTTTCTTCATGATTTTTCTAGAGGTCATGAGGTACCACAGTGTGAAGTATTAAATTCTGCCCCATTTCACTGCTTTTTTAAAAGAAATTGTTTGGGTACATTTCTCACTTAGGTTCCTATACTTTGAAGTAACACAGAAAGTTTTCTTTCATTTAATAAGAAAATGTGGTTTTGATCCATTGTACCCTAAACCACTGCATTTCTCAGATATGCTAGGATCCAGTATATCATCCAAAATGAACAATTCAATCCCCTCTATTTGTCTGGATTGAATCTGTCCAGTCAACCAAATTAACAAATAAAAAATGCTCTATTCTGAATTATTTATCAAGCAGCTACTTTCCTTGCCTATTAATCTCATCTACACAAATTTATCAATCAATATATATGTGGTATATTTAGTTTTTTGAGCCAAAAAAACATTCACTGCAATTATTTATCACTCTTCTTTGTCCTGTGTGGGAGAGTTGCAATTTCTCACATGATATCAATTTTGTTA